TTTCTAGTGTATTCTTCAAACCTCTAGCATAGAAAGATCTAGACTAGCCACAAAAGTGTGGCTTCTAGATCTTTCCATTTGCAACCAAGGAAGCTAGTACTCTCTAGCTTCTTCCATCAACTTTATAACATGCTAGAATTGTCTAGCATGCTCCAGCCATCTCTCTTGCTTACTAGAATAATCTAGAACATTGATCATGGGCTGGACCATATACCAACAATTTTCTCACTTTCCTGGTGGGTGAGTCTGGCAGCAAATCCATTGAAACTCCTTTTGTAACTTCTTACCAATAAATTTTCTGGAGAACTGAGACAGAGAGAGAGAGAGAGAGAGATCATGAAAACTAGCTTATAAGTTATAACGACAATCGAAATGAGAAGGTAAAGATCTAGATAGACTACCCATCCTGAACAACACCGTGTAGAATACTAAGGTGGTGAGCCAACGGTGAGTACGCCGGATCTCCATCAGGAAGGGACCCCATGTACACAATATAGACCTGCATCATCGTTGTAGTCGCGTTTAATTTTTTTATCAGTTAAAAAGAAAGAGCATTAATGTAATCAAGCAAAATTGAAGCCGATTGTTTTCTTATACAAATGATTCATACCTTTCTATCTTCATCGGTGGCCTTGCATAATAAGTTCATGCTCAGAATAAAAATGGAGAATCAGAATAAAACGCAACAGCCCCTTTCTTTGCCATTGCTCAATGCTTAAAAACTTCATGGCTGAAGAAAGGAAGGGTACTTTGTTTATATAGTCAGACTAATTAATGGCTGACTATTATCTTAATGCATCCAGATTTTTTTTTTTTAATTTCTTCAAGACAGATTGGGAATTCCATTAATTCAAACACCAGATAAATCAAAAGTAGTTGCAACTGAAAGCCTGGATTATGGTAATCTGTAAGACATGCAGAGAAATGCAGAGAGGGATTCAGTAACGGCAGTCAAATAGAAATTACAGCAATAAGAAAGTATTCATGTACCATTATTAATAGCATCTAGACAATCTAAAAATTCATGAGTATTGGTCCATGAATTTGTCACAATATGGAGCAAGTCTTTTTGAGTAACATTGTTAGAAATCTCATTTAAAATATAGGATTCAAAGGGTGAAAAAATAGACGAAAATTCTAACATAGTTACCCAAAAAGACCATTGCACGTTGTAATAAGTTCAAGGCCACTACCCACAATTTTTTAGTTCAAGGACCAAAGCTCCAATTTGACTAAAGTTCATAAATCATTGCTCCAATTCACTAAAAAACAAAAAACAAGTTTGCAAAATTAAGGCTTGTTCCATTTGTTTTTCGGTGTTGTTATGTAAGGGTGCGTTTGATACGCAGACGGGACGGGACGGGACGGGACGGGACAGAACGAAGGTGTAATTTTTGAAAAAGACATGGGGTATATTTGTCTTAAAATGGTAAAACATTGTGTTCCACATACGTGGAACAAACCCGTTCCAGGGGGGGAGGTGGAACGCAAAAACACCCAAAATCTGTCCCGTGGAACAGCCCGTTCCACCCATTTTTGGCGCACCAAACGCGGGACGAAACGCCTCGTCCTGTTCCATCCCGTCTCGTCCCGCGTACCAAACGCACATCTCACATCAACCAACGGAGAGGGGGTGATGTGCCTTATATGTACATATTCCCCTCCCCTATAGCACGAGGTCTTTTGGGGACTCACTGGCTACGGATCCCATAAGAACTCCGTAGTTAAGTGAGTTTGGGCAAGAGCAGTCCTAGGATGGGTGACCCCCTGGGAAGTTCTCGTCGAGTTTGGGCAAGAGCAGTCCTAGGATGGGTGACCCCTGGGAAGTTCTCGTGCCGAGATCCAAAAACAAAACCGTGAGGGTGTGGTCCAAAGCAGACTATCGTGCTACGGTGAAGTCGAGCTGGGATGTGACATGTTATGACACAATATATTGGCCAATTTGTTTTTGGATTGAACCTCAACTTTATTCATGATATTAGAGATAGGTTTGCCGACATGTGTTCTAATTCAGCCAATTAAAACTGTCCATGTGTTAGACTCAAAAGTTCACCATGCATGAGAGAGTGTGTGAGGAATCAATAAACTTAGCAAAAGTTTATAAGGAGTTAGGCCATTACCTCCACTGTTACACTACTACAAACAAGGTGATAGAGGCCAGCCAAAACTGTCCTCTACAATTTTACTGGACAGTTTTTAAGGGCCCAATTTTACTGGACAGTTTTTAAGGGCCCTATTCCATGCCGTCTACTCCAGGATTTTTAAAAGACGCTTAAAGTTTAGAAATAGGACTGTTAATAATAGTTCTATATACTCGTACTGGATAGTTTTTAACAGTCCTTGAAAGCTTGAATTATAATTAAAAAAAATAACCGGTCTCTTCGAAAGCCAGTTCAGAGGACACATTTCCTTCAATTTAATTTTTATTCATAACTTCACAAACTATTTGTATGACATCAACTGCTCTCACGAGTGTAGTCTCCTTTCCTTGGAACTGCCATAATTAAAAGAGTATTAGACTCACAATGAGATGAAATTCAACAATTATTCTTAGAAAACAAATAAATACCTATAATGACTATCACGCTAACGCTTTCAGGTAAGTATATCAGGTGTTGGACAAAACATCACACTCCATTGAAATACAAATAAATACCTGTACTTTCAACAACGCGTTTTCTAATCCTTTGTTCCCATTTGTGCATTACACATTCCTTGCATGTAAAGAATAAAAATTCCTTCAACTACTAATAGATAACTTTCAGTAGGAACTACCTTACATGCAGGATAGCACTCCAAATGTAGCCTATCCCGTTGTGCTATTTCCAGTCTCCACTTTGGTCCTGCATATGCTCAGCAATTGATAGACTTTTATGATTGCTTACGTACAAAAGCCAGTTACGTAGCCAGTTGGTCATACTAGCCGTAATAAATCTTTGATTGGGCAAAGAATATAGTTTATGATAAGATTCAGAGTATAAACTTACAGTAACCACCAAAAGGTCAAATGGTTTTGAATCTTGAGTCTTTTGGTAGCTCAACTAGAATTTGGACAGTTCACTGTAAAAGTTAGCATACACTAAAGGCCAGAAAGTTGACTACCTATGAATCCAATCAATAACAAGTTTATCATATGCATCAGGACAATTTCATATTCACATGATTTCTTCCCTGTAATCCTCGATGAATATTACAAATTACATATGTTGGTGTCAAAAGTCGGGCATAGTCTGGACTGAGTTCAACATGTACTTGCTTTGAGTGTTGCTTTTAGTCTCAGTGCCACGAGATGGCTTGAGACAAAGAGAGAATAGGAGTGCCACTGTTGGATGCTGCCAACATGTGGTGTTTGAATGTGTATGAAAGTTGCACGTTAATCTGGCTTCTTAATTAACCAAATGACAATGTACTAAGTGGGATGTTGGTTCTGTTAAGTTCTATTTTGTGCCTCGAGTGAACGAGGACTTAAAATTTAGTGCAATATGCTTGCCTGAAAAGTAAATCATAGCGAAATAGAAACCAAAAAATGAGAAACATAATGTAAACATTTCATGGTGGAGTCAAGATAACAAACGTTTGCAGAAGTAAAATCTAGGCGATGGGCCGAGCTACATAACTTGAAATGTAAATGGATTGGAAATGTAAAGAAAGTAATAAAACTCTATCAAGATTTAGCCATGAAGGACAATATAATGCTAGAGAAGTCCACCAAGATCACTATTGATGTCGGATTGGACTTAGTACAAAACATGTGCCTCAGAGAGGAGACCAGGATGGTGGGAATTGCACATCAACCGAATCATACCACAGAGTGGCAGAAGTATAAAAGTTTTAGATCTCAGGGATCGAATTACAACCCTAGGCTTGCTTGGAATGATGATAGGAAACAAAATATCAAAAATACCTTCAAAAGTTAGATCTATGTTTGGCCACAAATGCCTAATGATCAAGGCAAAACATCGAGTTTTGTTCGTGAGACTGTTCTCTTTGAAATAAGACTCAGCGGAAAAGCCTTAATTTGACTCTAGTTTGTAAGCCGTAACATCATTAAGACAACACTTCGTTTTGATCTAATCGATTAGTCATGCAGCCATCATAATTATGTCAAAACCCATTATAGGGTGTTCTGATATTTCACTCTAAGATGATAAAATTGCTCAAATAAATTAAAATATTTTGTATTTCTGTATGTGCTTTTCTGCAATAAGAAAGCATATATCTGCGGCATGTATGGATAGGCTAATATACCTATATATATTGAAGGGAGTTTTAACAAAACACTTCCGGTACTGTTCATTTTTAACAAAAATCCACATTTTTACATTTTCCTGGTACTATTCACTACACACCTTTATTAGTCATTTTTCATTAAAACTAAAGTTTTTTTAGATTTTTCGTCAGTTTTCCTTATATTTAAAGATATCAAATTTGTAAACTAAATTTTGTTAACCAAATGACTGGGAAGTTGATGACTGAATTATTATTTAAGTGTTGAATAAGGTGTTAATTCCTTATCGATGACACATCATTTCGTTTATAAATTAATCTACAAATTTGGTTTACCTAGCATTACTCAAATTAGAATGACAACCTCACTTTGATGATGCATGCAAGTGCTGCTGGTGCTGGTGCTGGTTTTGTTGTATTTGTTAATATATTCTCTAATTAAACATCATGTTACTTTTACGTATATTTATAGTAATTGAGTGGAATATATACTAACTTGACACACTTACGGATTTGTTTAAATTAATCGCTTTTAGAATATATCGTGCAGTGGGAGAAAGAGGAAGCCAACTATACCTGCATGATGCATCCGCATGCAGCATCCTCCACTTATTTTAGGCTGTATTTTTCTTTTATCTAACATGTAATATGCACGTGCTTTTTTCTCTCCACTTTCTAGTATGTACATTTTCTTATTTCTCATTGGGATAAATCGAGCATGCCTATAAATACCTAATACACGTTGCCTTCTTTTCATAGTTAGTAATTAAGAGCCCAGGGCAATATCCTAAATCATCTCGATTATTAAGCTCAACGTTAATTAATTTAATAATGGAGGGTTCAGGTTTAACTGCCACTCGAACATTAAGTTACTTGTTGATGTTGTTGATGTTGGCTGCAACCTCAGAGTCAGCGAGAGGCCAAGGCACAAGAGTAGGGTTCTACTCTCATACTTGTCCTCGAGCTGAGTTCATCGTGAGGTCAACAGTTACAGCTCATTTCCAATCTGATCCTACCATTGCCTCTGGCCTGCTGAGGATGTATTTTCATGATTGCTTCGTCAATGGCTGTGATGCTTCCATCCTCATCGATGGTCCAACAGCCGAGAAAACCGCCCCTCCAAACCTCAATTTAAGAGGATATGAAGTGATTGATGATGCCAAGGCACAGCTTGAAGCCGCATGCCCAGGGATTGTCTCTTGCGCAGATATTCTTGCCCTAGCTGCACGTGATTCTGTGGTTCTGGTACGTACACGATGATTGAATATGTTTGTATGTATAGGTAACATATTGTCAACATAATATGTGGACAATATAGGGTTATAAACATATTCCCTTTTCGCTACAGTACTAGTGTTAGGGTGTCAAATCCATCAAAATCGATCCTCAACAGTGACAGTAACAACTAACTAGTACAAGTCTAAGGTTTAGGGTTTAGTACTAGTATAGACTACTAGCTAGCTAGTTGTAAGTATCTGAGCCTAATCAGTGTGCAGTATTAGTACTAGTCTCTAGTTGTATTACTTTCCTTCTAATAAATACTAATGTTTGAAAACATGTGTTGGATGCATGTATAAATCTATCGATCGGTACAGACCAACGGACAAAGTTGGCCAGTGCCTACAGGACGCAGGGATGGGATGGTTTCCTTAGCATCTGATACAGCCAACTTGCCAGGCTTTACTGAATCAATGGATTCGCAAAAACAAAAGTTTGCAGACAAGGGGCTAAACACGCAGGATCTTGTTGCCCTTCTTGGTAAGCTTTAATAATTTGTATATGTTCAAATATCTCATATATGACAACTTCCTGTTAAAATACAAAGAAAAAAACTCATTGTTAGAAATTGAAATGAAACAAGAAATAAAACTACTGGAATATTCACAGAAGTTCTCTAAAAATTAATTACTTTTCTTGAGCATATTCCAGGTGATTCTATGTTGATTTTTTTTCCTACCATATATAGGAGCACATACAATAGGAACATCGGCTTGCCAGTTCTTCAGTTACAGAATATTCAATTTCACAACTACTGGAAATGGTGCGGATCCTGCGCTTGACCCATCATTTGTTCCTCAGCTACAAACTCTCTGCCCGCAAAATTCTGATGGTACGAGGCGCATTGGATTAGACACAGGCAGTGCCGACAAATTTGATGTATCTTTTTTTGCAAATTTAAGAAAAGGCAGAGGAATTCTCGAGTCCGATCAGATGCTATGGACTGATGCTACAACAAAACCCTTTGTCCAACGTTTTCTAGGTGGTAAAGGCCCTTCTGGATTGAACTTCTATTTGGAGTTCGGAAAGTCCATGGTGAAGATGAGTAACATTGATGTGAAAACCGGCACACAAGGTCAAATTCGAAAAGTATGTTCTGTGATAAACTGATATGAAAACCGTCACATAAATAATACAGTATGCAAAAGCTGTTGTAAAACCTTTCTCGTTTTTCGTCTGGTTGTGTACCTGTTCATGACATATGAAAAACAAGTATGTGATACTAGTAATCTGAACATGCATGATATCTCAATAATATATCAATTAGGGATGAACTGTCAAACCCTCAATTCTCATTTCGCATCACTTGTCGTATACATATCATGTTTAATATTCCATTAATTTCAAATACAACTCATACAAAACTAATTCTTCTCTGGAAATTTCGGAAAACCTTTTTTTTCGAAGGTTAGACATTGAATAAGTGAAGTTTGGGTTGGTTAACCGGGAACCAGAAACCACACTGATCCTCAGTACATAATAAACCAACGATTTAACTTCCTATCCTCGTAAGTGGCCTTGCTTCAAGACCCTTGCATAGTAAGTTCATTGTGAACATGAGAGTAGACAAAGCATTATAATATATGCACGAAATTGTAAGGATGAGCGGATCGGATAATGCAAATCACCCGAAAGAAGCGTTGTTATTAATAAATCGGGGAGAAACGTTATGATTTCCACCCCCAAACAGTTTTGCTGCCTCTGGGGTAGAAAACACTGGGGGCGGATATCCAGACTTAGAAATTCCAACAAGAAGAAGACCGTGGCAAGGCAACTTTCATCAAAGCTAATGGTTTAATCCTACACACATCAGACAGATATTCCAAGGAAGGAAATATCGACAAGGCAATTTGGAAATCCCTCATTATTACCTCAAGAATACGAATAGGTGAGCTTCCCTTTTTTCATACAGTTTTGGACGACTGTGTTTGCACTTGTGCAATTTATTTTTCTTTGAGGAGAAAGGTTTACATCAACTAACATTGGACTTCTAACGTTGTGGACACCATCAGACCAAACCAGCGATCCAGACACTTTTGATCGATCTGGCAAATCGTTTTCAACAACAGTGACATCAAAAGTCTTCTCTTCATTCAGAGACTCGAATGCCAGAACTTCGGGAACAACTTTGATGTCAAGTTGTCAAATCGGGAATCCGACGATATTTTGGCCTTGTAGGTCGAGTTTGGAAAGCCAACATTTTTAACTCTTCTGTGAAATTTAACTGTAAAAGGTTCCTTTTCTGCAACTTTAACTCCCATTGAAGGGTGATTAAGATCCTTTGGATATCCTTTCTCAGATCCTTTAGGGCATGTGCTGTTATCTCCTGACATGAGTCTAACTTTGCCTTCATCATACATTATGCATAGCAACTTTATGTAATCTTCTTCACAAGCTTCGTAAACAAGCCCCGGCGTTACAGCGTTCAGAGGATTGATATGTCCCGATCCATAAGCAAATGCACCAGTGGAAATTTTGTTGCTGGTATCATTCATTAGCCAAGCTACATGCTCACAAAAAATCCAATAGATAATGTCAGAATTTTATCATTCATAATGTGCAAAATGAAGAAATTTCTGTTATCATGACAATATATATACCAGTCGTCATAAGAGATGATTTGATGGCGGTGGGAAACCAATCAGGGTGGAATGCTTTAACATATGCCGCTGCACCAGCAGCATGAGGGCAAGATACAGAGGTTCCAGACAACATATTGTATTTTACACGCCTCTTGTCTTCTTCCAATTGTGTGATCGAAGCGTTAGGTGAATATGTAGCCAGAATTTCAGCCCCTGGGACACTAATATCCGGCTGCGAAACATCAGACAACAGTTATCCGTATCTATGAAATTTTTATGAAAGATTTACCAGAAAGTGGCAAGAAACCTATACCTTTATAATATCAGGCAAAATTAGATTTGGTCCACGCGAGGAGAACGAAGTGACAGCAGGTGCAGAAGGATCTTTTATGGCATCACTTTTAAGTATTTTCGCTCGAGGGTCACTATAAATTAAGAGAAACACACAATCATGTAAATACAACATTCACGATAAGGCGATTGCCTTGTGATGCCTTGTGATTATCCAGAAAGAATCTATACCTGGTGGAGTTTATGTAGGATTTGACCAAATTATGCTCTTCCATCATTAACATTGTTGTAGGTAATATGGGAACTTGACTAAGATCGTCTGTGTTGTCATTATGTAAAATTGAACCAAGTGCACCGGAATCATATGCTGTTGTATCTCCGTATCCGGCATCACATACCACTATCTTTCCCTTAACAGAATCGCTGTCCAGGCAACCACATTTACAAAATCTGACATGCAACAAGACAGTACTTCAGCTACTTACTAACAGATTATATTGCTTCTTGTTAAACACTAAAAAGGGCAAAAAAATCACCCAGCATCTTGTCGAGTGCAATCTTTCGCTGCAGCATCTTTTCCGTGTATTGAGGGAAAACTTGTTCCATTTAATCTGAAAGTGTTAATAGAATTCCCCTGTTTGTGCAAAAATGTAAACATCAATAATAACGGAATATCTGAATCAAATAAACAAGTATAAATAAATTTCGGGGAGACAGGAAGTACATGATACATACAACAAGTGTCTTTCCATTTGCCAGAACAACTTTGTCAATGATATGGCGATCTATGGTACTTGCTGTCAATATCCATGGTGCTACGCATGACACAGTAGCGATTTGAGGCCCTTCATTGCCTGCAGGCTGTATGGTCAGTATCCCTTTTTTCATTGCATGAAAAGCACCAATTGTGAAAGGGTCCTCATCAAAACTAGTCACAAAACCAGATCCAATTGAAATCGTAATGACGTTAACTCCGTCATCAATAGCATCGTCAAAAGCAGCCAAGATGGAATCTGCACTGCACCCTTTATCATGATCACAAAGTTTATATGTTGCAATTCCTGCTGCAGGAACACCTCCTCTTGCATATAATCTTAGTATACCCAGAGGACCAGAGGCAAGTACCAATGCTACAACTGCCAAATGGTGAATACACACTCCACGAACACTGGTCAGAAGACACGAAGGCAAAAGCATGCCCGTTGCTGCCAATAGGAACGAAATACCATTTCCATAGGCTATAGCAACGCTACATTACCAAATTTGGCACGGTGCAAGTGAATTTTTTATAGCATTTTTCACAAATTTTTACAATAACTGAGAGATGAGAAGTGAGGGAACTTGTTGCAAGTGAAATTTTTGCCTCCTTCGCAAGCACCTTTCTTTGGAGGAGGACCAAAACCTTCGTCTTTAAAGCTCTCAGATTCCGGCCAAATTCCAGTGTCAATCACCCCAACAATTATATCACTCTCAACTAGGATGTCTCGATTCATTTGTTTATTTTAACCCATAAAGTCCCAAGATCATGTTGTCTGCAGTTGGAATGATCTGCTTGGAAAGATGGAGACTACTTCCTTCATATCTGCAACACAGTTTGTAAGAATAAAAAGTTTTCGAGACACACCATTTTACTCTTTTGTAGTGACATAATAAATTATATCAGAGTGCTCACCAGCAAGTTTTTCCCTTTCCTTGTCAGTGAGTTTTGCTGCAAACCCATTGAAACTCCTTTTGTAACTTCGTACCAGTAAACTTTCCGGCGAACTGAGAGAGTGAGAGAGGATAAGAACTAGGTTTTGGCTAAAAAGACCCAAAAAATGTAAGTTAAAGGTCTAGCCCGACTACCTTCCCTGGACAACTCTCTGCAGAATACTTAGGTGGTGAGACACCGGCGAGAACTCCCCATCTGGAAGGGACCCCATGTACACAATATGAACCTGCATCATCATCGTCATCGCATTCCAAGTAAAAACTTACTATTTAAACAAAGAACCATTGAAATCTTACTGACAATTCTTACCTTTCTATCCTCATCAGTTGCCTTGCATAACAAGCTCATGTCCAGCATAAAAACCGCTAAAGCACAATACAATAGAACAGCTCCATTTTCGCCATTTTTCTGTGCTCGAAAACTTCATGGCCGACGAGGACTTAATATATACTGGGACCATTTAATGACAGATTGTTCTCTCAATCAATGCATTCGGCTTTTCTTGAATTAAGGCACCCGATAAATTTAGAAGTTGTTGCAACTGAAAGCTTGGTTTTGGATAACCTGGAAGACATGCAGAGAGGGACTCAGTAACGGCAATCAACCAGCACTTACTGCACCAAACCCATTATATATCATGTGCAGCTGAGCTTTAGTATAAGCTACGTGTTTTCTGCACAATCTAATTCTTCATTCTATGGAATAAGAAGTGTGCACACAATTAAAGTGAGAGTCTTAAATGTAACCAGGGACGTAACTCTCTCTACGAAAGTCATCGTGGTAAAAATATATCACTAATTAGACCCAAGTAAAGTTTGCCACAATTCAGGCAACATTAAATTATATTTTTTGGGTTGTGAACTACAATATTTCTTTTAAGTTCACCTCACAACTTAAGTTTAATCACTCTTTAATTTTTTTTAATTGTGTGAAAGGACAAAAGATGACATTACTTGAAAACCTGTCGTTCATCTTCTTTATCGTTAATCTTTCTCTACTACTTAAGTTCGTACTTTTCTTCACATACTTCAACTAAGTTAAGTACACACGTTTTTACGAATAGAGGTCGTTTGGGAGTGATTTTCTCGCTTGGGAAGGCATACACGCACTAGGGATTCTTTTCGGTAGTGATTTTCATACTCGTAATTTCTCCTTCACGCTTTCCCCTTGTTTTGGTCCCTTGAAGTCGACCAAAGGTTGTGCGATTATCACTTCCCTATCTTTCCGAGGCCCTTGCAGTCCACCAAAGGCCCTTGCAATAGTGAAATATGATGACCGGGTGGTGTTGTTCGAGAGGAAGCGGATTGATATGCCATTCATCAATAAGCACAACTAACTTACATCAGCTCTGAGAATACGGTAAACACAGAAAAGACTTGTAAAAACTATTCGACTCGGGGGTTTTCTCTAATTGAGACTAATCACTGCCGTTTTTTGATATTACAATATCTTATAACTACAAGAATTTGGCTACAACAGTGTCACATATATATTCTACATTTGCAGATTCCAGAGCTTGACACCAATGCAGATTTCTTATGCTCTTCAAGCCCTTTCAGAATCTCGGGTACTATCATCCTCGCACATCCTCCTCGGCAATCACTAGAGGCGACCGAATACAAGAACAGAACCAAATGTGATTTAAACCAGACTGAAAAATGATCAATAAAGATTTAAACATGCATGTGTGTGTCAGGA